TCTGTGGTGACTTTGTCTGATCTGACTGGAGTGGAAAGCTGTCCCTGCGGATGGGAGTGATCAACGGGATTAGGAATTAACAAAGGGGAAGGAAGCTGATAGCAGGTCCTTGTCTCTGATTTGACAAGTTGAATGTTTCTTGCTGTGCTGGAACTTAGTAATGGAAGCCAAGTCCTCCTTCCAGCAAGAATTCCCAGGGCAGATTGGTGATACATGAGAGTTCTGAAGTTGCTATTTAGCTACTGTTTAGTGGTTAAGAAGATTCCTCGCATAGCAGGAGGTGAAAGATGTGTAAGACCAGGAGAAACTCCAGGTCTTTTGCAAAGAACCAACACCCAAACTAGCTTTTTAGATGCTCTTTATGGTGATTTTAAGGGTCTTTTCCAATTTAAAAAATTCTGTGGTTCCTATTCTCATTCCATCCATTTCTCCACTAGTCCTTGTGGCAATCCTCCTTCCTTAAGCTGGAGAGGGTAATGGGGAGGTATTTCTATCTGTTTGTAACTGCTCAGCTGTATTCTTGGCCTCTTCAGCTGAGAAAGTGGGTTGTTTTACAAAGGCTAGAGCATGCATATCATATTATATAGCTTATCTAAAAATCCTCTACGAGACAAGCAGAATTTATGCTTAGAAGGAAATAATCCAATGACAACCACAATCTGTGGACGTAGGGTAGTGCAGGAAGCCTCCAAAGCAGTCTTCATTTACTGCTTGTTTCTGCCACCATACAGATGTTTTATTTACATGATGATCTCTGTGTGTCATTAGGAATGGCTGGGAGAAGGCGCAGAAGCAGTTACACGAGGAGGATATTTAGTAGTGCCACAGCGCAGTAAGACCTTTTCCTGTTCTGTAATTTCCTGAGGCACATTTAATCACTTTTGAAAAGCACAGAAATGTTCCATGTTCCAGCCTCACTGTTCCATGTGAGAAGTGTTCTTATTGTAGCCTACCCTGTTGATGAGAGCAGACACAGTGAGACACAATGACAAGAGAATATGTTATTGTCATACCCAGATGGCTTCCTGACAGCCTGCTCAGATACGAGGGAACCATCAAGCATGTTCTGTGGTTACACTTCTGCTGTCTACGGTATTGCACTTACTGAGGTGTCCCACAGCAGTTCAAAAAGATGCATTATTAAGGGTGGCTGTAACACTGATAATGTGAACTGGGCAGGGGAAACCTCAGGCCTTCTGGTGACACTGGAGCTTGGTTAAACCGCTCTGGTGCTCAACTGCAGTGTTGCAGCTCCTCTGGAGTCAATAATGTTTCCTCCCAGCACTCCTTTCATATACCTTTTCACTGTCCTTTCCATTCCAGATTAAGAATAATACGTTATGGTTTAGATACTTCAGTAAAATTTGCTTTAGGCATGTAAATGCATGCTCTTTGGGTTGCTCTAAAGTTTGTATAAAGTTGCACTGAGTAAAAGCAGTGTGATACCTTTTCCTCTCCTTGCCTGGATCGTGTTCTCTTCATGCTAAATGGTTTATACATGTTCTAAGTGGAAGGAGTAAAAATAGCAATGCTGTGTATATTAGAATATTTTGTTATTATGTTGTGTATATGCTGTGTATATGCTGTGTATATTAGAATATAAACGTTTCTCAAGTCTATAGTGTTGTAGCTAAAGGAAAGTGCCTCTTTCACCTCTCCATCCACCTTCCTCTTGTTTTCCAAGATTGTGTTTGTTCTGAACCTGCTGCAGTGCTTGTCTCCAGGAGAAAAGTGAGCTAATATAATGGGTTAAAACTGACTTAAATGGGTAACTCAGACATTCTATTTTGGCTTTGAAATGTCTTGTTTCAGTTTGGCTTATGTAAACTGAGAGTAGATTTAACAGGTTTAAGATCCTTAAATTGAAGTAGGTGTCTTTGTATGGGGGTTTTGCACTTGGTAAATCAAATAAAACCTGATTTATTTTCTTAATACAAACAGGAGAGATTTTCCCTGACTTCAGCTGGTGTTCAGCAGGTGGTTTGAGGTTTTTTTTTTTCATTAAAATACAATCGTTTGCTTCAGAGTGTTGCAGGAATAGCCTGCTGCTTTAACTGGCAGGCACCCGGGAACTAGAAGGTGAAAGGAAAGAGTAGGTGATACCATAATAAACTCTTGCCAAATTGAGGTTAGAGGGAATTTCCATTTTCTTTGTACATGGTATTAAAAGTTCTTATTTACAGTGAAGGTAATGATGGTATCCAACAACCTTTTTCATTCCAGGGATGGAAGGATGCTCAGCCATCTGTTCCTGATGCAGAGCTAAGACAAACCTGTGGGATGGAGAACCTCCTTTGATAGACTCTGAAGAGAGCACTGGATCAGGGAAGGCTTGTTCACAGCTGAGAGTAACTGAGGTAACACTTGGTGATGGAATAAGACTTTGAATTATTTTAATAGTGAAACTTACCTTGACTTTTAGTCACCTGTTTAAAATGTAAGCAAGAGCAGTACAGGTTCCCTGTTTAATACTATTTCCCATGTGTTAAGTGTCTTCAGAGTGGACCTCTCCTATGGAGGTTTTCACATTGTTAATCTTAGTATCAGAATGATTATCAAAGAAGACAATGCTTCTATCAGAAGGATCTGATAGAAAGACTGAAAACAAGGCATCATATTCTGCTTTGAAAAAATGGTATGATGTTTGTGTGTTTGAGAGGAGGTATTATTGTTTCAGTGGCTCAGTCATCCAGATGCACAAGCATGCCTGTAGAAGAGAGGGAGGTGAGGGGCAGAAACCCTTTTGCTTTCCTTACCCGCACAACTCTTTCAAGAAATTACAAAGCCAAGACTTGCAACAAACACAGTTCTGATGTCAGTAATTACGCTAAGAAATGGAGCTGGTTCTGGAAGCAATAAAAAAGCAGCAGGCTCCCCTGCTTAAACTTATCTATAAAGAGGATTTGTCTCCTTTTTCCATGCCTTCAGAACTCCACCTGACATCACCCGGGCCTCTGCACAGTCTGGCTAAGAGGCCATTTTCTGACTTCCAAGAAAAACAAATGGAAATGCAAAAACTTGCATCTGGCCTGTTACCTCATCCCCAACCACCCAGGTGGTTTCGGAGTCATCCTGGCATTCCTGGTTCCTTTTTCACTTGCTATATAATGAATAATAAAGATTATTGAGACATGTACAGAAAGCGGACAACACTTGAAGCTCAGTTAGAAGGACTGATCCTGCATTATTTCCACATGAACTGGTAAGTTTGTTCAGGTATTAAAGAATCTGTTCAATAAAAGCTCCTGTGGAGCCAAGGTGCATGTCTGAATTATCCGCATAATCCCTTGCTTGACGGGAGGATTGCTCCTGATGTTTTACTCAGAATGTATTTCCTTTCTGTGAATGACTGTCCCTTGAAACAGTTCAGAAAGCCAGTTTTGGTGTAAATGTGTCCCTTATTCTCAGAAATCAATCTGCACTACTCAGGATGTTTTGGTTTCCCTTCCACAGGCTTTGTTTTGATTCTTGGAATTTTAGGCAACTCCTGAAGCTTTGGTATAAAACAGTAAGATCAAACTGTCTGGAAAAGCTGTTGTAATGAGCACCTCACTGTTCAGTAAGTACCTTAACTTTGCTTCAAGTAGAGGAAAGGAAAAAAAAAGGGGTCTGCACTGTCTTTGGAGCATTTCAAAATATACACAGAAAGCACTAACAAAATGTAGAATTCCAACTGCTGTCTCTCCTTTCCAAGGAGAAAACACTGGATGTTTCTGTATTTTTATAGGATGTAGACATCAATTCTCATACCTTTTGTGTGGATTAGAAACTGTTCACAAGCAGAACTGTTTTATCCTATTCTAAGATATTGTCCACTGGTGCAAAGGTTGCTTGTGTGTCCTGTTCATGTCTTTAGGTTTGTGAACTTGACATTAATAGTCACTTAGTTCTCATGGTTGCAGGTGCTAATGAAGAGAAGACTTGGGCTAGGGATAAAAAGTTCACAGTTCAGGCTTCAATATGATATTTTCTGACATACGGTCTTATATTTACTGTATACAAGTTTATCAGAATATGGAAGTGTGGTCTGATGAAACTAATCTGCTATTGTAATCTGCTGCTGTGTGGAGAGATGGGCTGTCATTCTTCAAACACAAGAACAGCGTTCTCCAAGTTGAAGGGGAAAATCGCCCTTTACGTGACACATTGGTGGGTTTTCATGCTATTTTTTGAATAACACTTACTGAAGAAATAAATTATTTGGTTCTGTAGAAGGTCAGAGATGTTGTGAATGCCATGACTCAAACACGCATTTCTTTTTTCTCTTAAAGACTAAAGTAACAGTAATTGAAATTGATCAAAGAGATAGTGTCTGAAGTTGTAACCCTGAGGTTGGAAAGGTTTTAAAAATAGTACCAGACATGTATCACATCTGCACGGTACAGAATGTTTGCGTCGCCTGAAAGATCAGAGCTGAATGATGTAGGGCTGAAGGTGGTGCAGTCTAGCTGCACAGTAACATCTAATGGTAAGACCAAGTCAACCACAGCTTTTCTCAGTGTTTCCACTGCCTCTCTGAAGCCTGTCAGTGTAATACAACAGGAGATGAGAGCTATTATGGAACACTTCACAGCTCTAAATCTTTATGGCTTCCTCTCTCCTACATATAAGGTGTGCAGTGGTCAGGCCAGGTATCTGCTTTTAGGGCTGATGGAATCTGAAATGAGGTCTGTGTATTTGCACATGGAACCCAAGGCTGTTGGGTTTGAGCCAAACTTTAAGAGGAGCTCAAGCCCCAAGACGATGGCTGGAAATGTTAGTAGAGACCACAAGTGTTGCATACGGCTCTGCTATGTGCTACAGGTCTTTTCAGTGTCAAATGCTGCACATAAATTATGGTTCAGGCACCATTTATAAGAGGGACCACAAAGCCATTGCACCTTTCTGTTACTTGTTCTGCATACAAACTTTTTCTATATGTAAATCAAGTACCGCTTCTTAGAAACACAATTCCTAGTTCTAAAATAAAGTCAGCAAACTGGAGCTTTTTTTTTTTAAAAAAAAAGTATTTTTTATTTATTTTTTGAGATGGAAAAGATCCAATTTTCCCTCAGTGGCTGCTATTTAACCCTTGGAAATTGACAAGTTCTGATACCCTCTATTTATATAAACAGGTCCCTGTCCCAAAAGGAAATTCCAGTGTGGATGACCTGGACAGTCCAGTTCCTAGTTCACCAGAAGATCTCTGAATTCTGTGGATTTGCCACAATCCTTATATTCACCTTGTTCTTCCTCAGGGAAGCGGCAGCTGCAGGCATCATCTTCCTGAATTGACTGTTCAGATGTTGTATGCACTAAAGAAAAAAAGCAAGTGTTTCTGACTTACAAGGCCAAAAAACCCACAACTATTTTCAGCTGTCTTTGAAAGCGTTTAAAAACCTGGATTTCTGATTTCAACAGTAAAAACAGAAGAGAATTTCTCTTACTTTTCTTGAAGACAGCATGTAGTTTCTTTTTCTGCCAGATACTGAAGCATATGCATGAAGGCAGCAGAAACACTATGCACAGCAGCCCAGCTACAGCAAGAGAAATTCTGACAACGTCCATCTGGAGGTCCTTCCCTAGGAAGCAAACAGTATTCTCTAAGAAGTGTTACAGAGCAGAATTCTACTGCCCTTGAATCAGCTGACAACTTTGTCTCCAACTCTGCTTCTAGATAAGTCAGCAACACTGGCAATGAACAGAGGACAGACTCTTGCTTTAAATGAGGTGAGGGCTATAGAATGTTTCAAAGTAAGTCATAGTTCTTTAGCTCTATCAGCAATATTATACAATGACTCACCTGGCACAGTGATAGAAAATGGAATTGCAGGAGCTGTGGTAGACAGAGTAGTGACTAAAGTGGGATTATCTGAAGCGTGTTTGCAAATGACATCTTTTGCTGCAGTTCCAGGCTCCAGGACTTGGTTTGCAGAGCACCTAAAAGACATTTAAAGCAAAACAGGAGGAGAGGGGGAAAAAAAAACCAAAAACCAAAACAACAACAAAAAACCCCGAAGCAAACAAACCCACAAACCAAAACCATGGCAAAAAGTCCACTCCAAATGTAATAGCTGTAGCAGTTATTTTTTACGTGACTTACTTGGTCCAGTTTTTACAGGAGCCATCAGGCTGATCATTAAAAGTTCCATAGCGGCAAGCTCGGCAACCTTCAACAGACAAGGATGTGTAAACTTGTACAAGGTGAGCATTTAAATCAACGTGGAACATTTTTGCCTGCTTGTACAGTAATTATACAAATGTGGATCATAATTACTATTCCATAAGCTGCTCTAAGTATGTGAGGCAAGTGTGAGCTATGGTCCAGTACAGCACTCAAGTGCAGGGCCAGTTTATTGGCACGGGATGTCTCAATCATGTCTAAATCTTAGAGTTTCCAGGTGTTTCCCACATGGTGCTGACAAAAGAGCCTTCATGTGACGGGAACTCATTAGTATACAATTTGAGCTACAATTTCATGGGTTTGTCTGCTTCTGTGTGAACTGTTCATAGCAGTGGCAGCTTTTATCTAGTGAGGTCCTTACTCTAATTGTTCCCGTGCAGTGCAAGAAGCAGCGGTGCGTCTGGTGGTGGGGAAAGGCAACCTTACCACTCCTGGTGCTCTCCTGGCCCACGCCGCAGCTCCGGTCGCAGCGGGAGCAGCCGTCGCCACTGCAGCGGTACCCCTCCGTGCACGTGCAGACAGCATCGCTTTTTGAGGTACATTCTTCTAAGTACATGAATATTCCTGAACGGCAGAAGCAAGGTTTAGGTTACCTGCGCCGATGTGGGGCAGCAAAGGCTCGGGAGCTTTGCTCTTACAACAACTTGGCTGGTGGCTTCATCGAGCAGCCCCGCGTTGTTTCGGCAGTGCCACTGTCACTCGCAGGGCCGCGCCATCTGTTACCCCGCCCGGTACCTTCGCACTTCCGACACAGGGTGCAAACGTCGAGTCCCGCCTCGCTGGAGAACGTGTCGGGAGGGCAGGGCCGGCACCGCCCGGCCCGCCAGCAGTCCGCGCTCGCCACGAAGGTACCTGCGGGCCGAGACACGGAGTGGCTGCCGCGGGGCCGCGCCCGGCCAACCCCTGCCCAGCCGGGCCCGGGCCTCACCCGCTGGGCAGTCAGCGCCGCACGGCACCGCGGCCGCGGGATGCGGGCTCAGCGCCAGCGCCAGCACCGCCGCCGGCAGCAGCGCGAGTTGCGCCCGCGCTGCCGGCGCTGCCATGGGGTCGGTGCGCGGCGGCGCGGCCCGAGGCACTGCGAGCGGGGCCGTCGGTGCCGGCCCTTAGGGGGCCGCCCCCAGAGGGCACGGCGGCTGCGTCACTCGGGGGCGGTGGGGAAACCCCGGCCTGGCGGGGGGCGGTTTCGGTTCCGTCCCCCACCACAGCGCGACCCCCGGCTCTTCCGGGCAGCGCCCGCAGCCCTCTCAGCGCTGCCGGGCAGCGCTCGCCGGTCCCCAGCGGGGCTTCCCGGTGAGTCCTGCACGGAATCCCCGCCGTGGCTCGCCAGCCCGGGTCGGCCAGGCCGTGCCCCAAAAGGCGAGGGTCAGAGCGCGGGTGGCTGCGGCACCTCGGCCGTGCTCGGGTACCGCCCCCCCCCCCGGGACCGAGCGGGACCCGAGCGCTGCGGCCCGGGGAAGGGGGGGGGGGGGGGGGCGCTGCTCCGCGCCCGGCGACTGAGGCGGGAGCGGGGCCGCCTGCTGCGCACGGCCCGCTAGCGGGGGCGATGTCACCCTCCCGCTCCCGGCTGAGCCCCGGTCGCGTGGCCGTGGGCGGTGCTGGCCGCTGTGGGCCGGAGCGGGAGGCGGGAAGAGGCGCTCCGGGACGGGTTGTAGCGGGCCGGCGGCCGCACCGGAGCTGCGGCACAGGGCAGGCGGCGGGCCCGGGCCCGGGTCCGGTAACGCCCGGGGTGGGCAGTGCGCGTAAACCTCCCCTCGCAGGGAGCAGGACCTCAGGGAAGCCCCCGGAGAGGTCCTGCCCCGTGACACACGGGGCCGCTGCGGCTCTGAGGGGCGCAGTCAGCAGCTCGGTCTGTTGGACAACACTGAGACTTCCCAAAGCCGGGGGAAACCGCCCCGGAGCCACGGTCCCGGGGATGGGTGCCGCTGAGGCAGAGCTTGGCTCAGCACTGGGGGTGCGAGGGCCGCTGAGGAACAGCAGCGGCAGCTCCTTTCGAAGGTACGTATCCGCCCTTGCTGTGGGAGGGTGACACGGTTATGGCGGAGGGCACCGGAGCGCGCTCTTAAGTGGCTCCAAGCGAATGAGATCAACCCAGAGCTTGCGCGAAGGGACAGGCGAGTGCCGGGCAGCCCGGCAGAGAACGGGGTTAAGCGGGGAGGAGGGGCCGGGCCGCGGCGGTGAGAGGGAGGGCGGGACCGGGGCGGGGACTCCTGCAGTCTCCCTGCCCACGGCTGAGGTGAGTCGCAGCCGCCGCTCCGGCTGCGTGCTCGGGCCGCGGTGCGCCGTGGGCTCGGCGGTTCTGCCCGGAGGAAGCCCCGGAGGGCCGTGGCCGTGGCGAGGGGGGTGCGTGGGGCCTCGAGGCCTGCCCGAGCGGGCGCTGCGGCGGGCCGGGCGGGGGAAGGCCGCTTGCTTGACTTTAAGGGCCCAGGCCTCCCGGCGTCTGTGCGCCGTGCGGTTGCAGGCCCTGCAGCCTCGCCCCGTGCCCCTGCTCGTGGTCTTATTAAATCCCCGCTACGTCGCATGGCGCCGTGTGCTAAAATAAACACGAAGGTGCAGGGCCGTGGCCTTTCCGCGGGATTAGCTGAGCTGGGCAGCGTTAAAGCCTCCCTTTCGGCGGCAGGCTGCAGGGTGTGATTGCTTTAAAGCCGCCTTCGTGGGGTTTCGGATTTAACTGCCAGAAGGCACCCTCTGGAGAAATGTGCGTGTAACTCCAAAGGGGGGAGTATGGGTAGCTTGAAGACTCGAGGTAGCCTGAGCATGTGCTGGCACTGAGAAGCAAACGAACGCTTTGTATGTTGGGTGGATAGTTGGTTAAAACGGGGTGGCTGCTATGGCAATATAACTTGGTTCTGTCTTCTCTGGAAACATTCTTGCCCTGGTAGCGTAGACAGCGTGGCAGCTATGTACATACGCACCCATGTAAAGAGCAGTACTAACGCTCAAGAATTTGCCAGTATATTACAGTAAATGTCTAGGGGCAGTAGGGAGACACTGCATTTTGCTGGATTAGGGGAAAGAGAAAAGCTTTCGGGGTCAAGTGCCTATTTGCATCTAAAGAACTGATGAAAGAGGGATACAAACTATGATCTTCAGTATTTTGCTGTGATAAAAAGCAAACGCAGTATTTCCACATTATGGCTGTTGATGTTTGTTGGTAGGTAGTTAAATTCATGCATACTTACGCATGAATTCAGATGTGTTCGTACAAATTCATGAAAATGAATTTTGTAAATCAACATACACCTTAAAGATGAATTGCTAAAAAGCTCCATGTTATCCTGAAGTTATTGTTAATACTTATGACTCCATTGTACTTGTTTGGTTGGCCTTGTGTTGACAGTACATAAAGCTACCCTAAAAGCAGGGTTTGTCATACTGAGTTAGTCTGTTTGGGCTGGTTCTGCATGCTGTAGGGTGTTCTGCTGTATATCTGTCCTTGCTCATGGCATGGGGGTTGGAACTAGATGATCTTAAGGTCCTTTCAAACCTCAGTTATTCTGTAATTCTGTGTTACTGCATTTTAGAAATAGTATCTTTCTGAATGAGGAAAACAGTAGGGAGTGAACCTGGAAATAGACAAAGGTGAAGCAGGATAAGGAGATGGGTTCCTTTCAAGTAGGCAACTAAATGTGGATCTCATTTTATGAAGAGTTCCCAGATGCCACTTGCGTTTCTGGAAGGAAAGCCCCTACATAGAGAAAAAAAGTCCTGTGTCATAGGGTGATGACCTGTAAAATGCCTGCTTAAATCGCAGATGCTTTCACAGTATTCTCTCAGAAAGTATAAGTTTGTAAAGTTACTTTAACTTAACCTGCAAATGGAAATCTGGACATTGACCTCAACTTGAATTTAGAGGCTAAAAAAAAGTCTAGTTTGTTCCGTTTGCTAATTTCTGTGCTCTGCTCCCCCATCACACATGCACTTATGTTTCTCCCCCACAAAACCGTGACATACCCACAAAAATCTGTTACTGAGGTTTTGCAGGGTCAAGTCATTACAAGTCACAGGAAACTTTATTCATGCTGTGTGGAAACTAAATACCAGATATGAGGTCAAAGCTCATGCAAGCCTTTCTGTAAATGCTGACCTGGGTAGGAGTCAGTAGTCTGGGTATGAGTGAGGGTGTGCAAACTGAAAACAGCTCTACCACCCACCTTGAGCCCTGCTCTCTGGCACACTCAGTCATGTAAAGTGTTGATTAGGCCATTGGTGCTGACGTGCTGTGCTTCCCACTGCAAAATGCTGTAATCCCTCAATACCATAATGCATTCTTTGTGAAAAAGATTCTTATTTCAGTGGGATTGCTATGTATATGAATTGAAGTTAGTGAACCATTGAGGTGGCTTAAATGAAAGATAATGCAAAAATGCAAAATACTCACTGTTAAATGTTTGGAAGGATTTGTAGTAGGGGATTTGCCTTCTTACCACAGTGCCTCTTTCTGTCTTCCTTCCCTTCAGCTCTTCCCTTCACAACCATCTCACCTAATAACAACTGCTCAAGATAATGGCTTCAAAAAGAGCACTGGTGATTCTAGCAAAAGGGGCAGAGGAAATGGAAACTGTAATCCCCACTGATGTTATGAGAAGAGCTGGGGTGAGTATGCAGACAGTGAAAAGCTTTTTGTGAGTGCCCGGTCAAAGGAAAATCTTTGCCTCAAGTTGATGTTCACTGTGAGGAATTCAAGGCGTAGCCTGTTGTATAAAGTGAAAATGTGTCTTCCCACTGTTAGCTTATATGTGTGCCCTGGCCCAGATAAGCATGCATGACAAGTGGCATTTGTGCAAAAGATGGCCTTTTAAAATACAAACCTCATGTAGAGTAGAACAGATGTCTCAAGTAAATCTTACTCTTGTCAGAAAACATGGCTACTGCCATGCACAATGGCTGGATGTGCTTTTCTTTTGTAGGGGTCTGAACAACTCTACATTACAGCTCATGATATGACATAGCTTTTCTTGAGCTATGTTTAAAATCCTGGTATTAACTGGAGTTCTGTCTGGAGGCATTCCTCATGTTCTTTGTTGCTATTGCAGCTGTAGAGGTGTCATCTGATTAGGTATGAAAATAAGATTTAACGTAAACACGCCGATTTCACATGTATAGAAATGGCTAAAATAAAAATTACCTGCTCCCACCACACTTGTCATTCCATTAATATACTCCCCATTTTGGCTGCCATAAGAAGAACAAGCTTGCCTGCTTGTTTAGTGAATGTGAGCTGTGTGATATTATAACCAGGGATCTAAAAGTCAAGGGAGAAAACTGAAGATGCCATAAGTGTGTTTGAGAATGGCTTGAGCCTTCAAAGAGACTTTCAGTTCATTATCTGGTCTACTTAGTCCAGCTCTCCTGGGTTGTTTTGTTTCGTTTTATTTAAATCCTGTGGGATCAGATATTCTCTGAATGTCCTGTTTGAAAAGTTGAATTATTAGAGGTATTTGTTAATGTTTAGGTGGAATCACTACTTACCTTGTACATTTGGATTTAATCATGGTTTGGGGAAGGTTAAGTGTTCCCTGTTCTTGACAGTTTTCATAATGCTTTGCTTATTCTGTGTTCTACTTAAAAACTAACAGATAAGTACAATTCCTGAGTTCTTGAATTGTAATGATACAAATATTCTTCTGTTAGATCAAGGTGACTGTTGCAGGCCTCACGGGAAAAGAACCAGTACAGTGCAGTCGAGATGTCTTCATTTGTCCTGATGCCAGCCTTGAAGATGCCAGAAAAGAGGTTGGTCATCCTGATCTGATATAATGGCCAACATTTCTCACAGTTTCAGAGGCGTTCAGAAAGCTTATGCATTACCTTCAGAAATACGGTGCATGTTATGGTAGCTCTGTGCAGTAGTGAATCACAGAGTTGTACATCCCACAGTGCTACCCTTCAGTGATGTCCTGTTTCATAGCATGTTAGGATCAGACGGATTTCATTCTGCACAAGTGTTTGGTTTTGCGAAGCATCAAGCATAGAACTTTATTTTGCATGTTAGTCAGCCCAGCAAAAACAGCTGAAAAGTTCAGATGGAAAGCTAAAGGATGCTGTCATTAGACCTGTGCAGTA